TATAATTACTGCGTTAGATGTATACAGCCCTTATAACTGAGCGTTATAAGAAAACTCTAACTATTACTAAAAGTGAATTACTTATTTTACCTAAATAATAATAAATTTAATCAGGTACATACGTGTATTTATTATTCTGTGATTTTATATAATATACTTATCAAATAAGTCATTTCAATACGTGCATAAATTACATTCCGTAAAAATAAATAATTATAATTAATTAACGACAAAGAAAATTTAAATTATTCTACAATAATTTCTGACAAAATCTAATGGGATATTTGTTGCAATAAATCTTTCAGCAATTTTTTCAAAATTTGGTTCCAACATTGTTAAATAGACATTATAATTGTGTACTGAACTTGAAAGTAATGGCTGCGAATTTATAATGTGCAGAACAATACACGAATGTTTTAATTTTTGTAACAAATGTAACGTCTAAATTTGCTAAATATAGTAATGCACGCATTGCATGGTTGAGGTACGATCCAAGCTTCGGTATTCCTAATACCAGTAGTTTAGTAAAAACATGAAAAGCCCCAATTTTATCGAGCAATAATTATAGAATAAAAAAAATTTATTTCTATTTTAAAATTAATGCACTAATGGCACAAATAGACAGGCAAATCATGTGGATAAACAAGTTGTTTAGACTGTTAAAAGGGAAATCGGTGTTCACACTGGGATATTTTAAAGCAAGTATTTGTTGTTACTTGTTTCTTGTGTTAATAATTTACAGCAAATTGATTAACATAAGCAATTTTATAATGAAAGTTAGATGTACCCCTTCGATTTACGCTCGTACCCCTAGGGATACATGTACCCCCAGTTGAGAACCACTGCGTTAAACCAATTGTTTGTTAGATATTAAACAGCGATTTTTTTACGATTAGAGATCTTTACACTGTAAGATCCTAACACCATCATTTCAATTTATTAGCATGGTAGATCAGAGAATATCCCAATTTAAATGTTATACAAAATGAAATGTAATAGTAATATGATATAATACAATTTGTTTTTAATTAAAAATTTAGTTTATTTTATTACCACGTAGTCATTTTGTCGTTTAATTCTGAAAGTAAAACATCAATTTTTCTCTTTTTAACTTATAATTTCCAATACGTTATAAATAAATTATTCCTGCCAAATTTCAAAATTTATAATTGATGTAGTTGTGAAATATAATGGGAATTATTCGCAAATTTTTCAATTTTAAAAAATATATGTTTGAAATTCAAAGAACTATTATAAATCGCTCTGTTGAAAGCAATTTTTTCTGTTTAGGCAGGTTTCGCTTTAGATAGGTTTTATGTATAATGTTTTCCTAAGTCTTACCTTTAGAAGTATGGGTTAGTTGGTGAATAGTACATTTATAAGCTATCTACCAGAACCTATTCCGTTATTATTTCTTTACCGATTACTGGTTAGACGCTTTATTCAACATTTTAAAGTATTTGTATGAAAGAAAAAAAAATCGTACGCTGATCTTAAGATTTTCGAGGCTACTGTAAACATAAACATGTGTAAAAAATGCTTCAAGTGAGAAACAGAAATACTCAATTTATACACCGATTGCGCGTAAACAGCACGGGCAGCAACCATAGCTTCCGAATAACCCAATACAGTAAAACCTGGTGTAAACCGAATATTTTTCCGGTTTCAGAAGGTTTACTTAACACGGAAAATGGCAGCATTCCGAAAAATTCTTTCTGTTTTAGCAGGTTTACGTTTTGAACAGGTTTTACTGTATACGTGGCACTAATTTTCGGTTCATACAGTAATGGCACGTGTTCAACATCTGACCTTGATTTATCCCAACGAAAAAGTGATAGCGTGTTGTGTCAGTAAGTTAATTTGTTATTTAATCTGAAAAATAAACCTCATAATAATATGAAAAATAATAGTCATGTGCCAATATGTAATTGCGCGATATAATTATCCAATATTAATTACATCGAGTGATGGGAGAGACTCCGCGCCAAATATATAACCTACTGAATACTGTTGAATGACTAGACAGGAATCACAGACAGTGCCGTAACTAGGCAGGTGCAACAGGTGCACCTGAACAGCGCCAACTTGGAAATGGTAATCCAAAATGCATGTATTTGTTTTATTATTTTCCCAAACTTAATTAATTAAGAGGCCTAAATGCAAATTCTTGCACACGGCACAGGAATGGCTACTTACGGCACTGATCACAGATACCGATATTCGGAAGTCAATTTATTCGTCCACCAAGCGTGTGTATTAAGTCTAAATATCGCATTCGAAAGATACTTGTATTCTTAGTTACTATGCAACATTAAAAGAATTTCTATAAAGTGGCCTAAATATAAGCAATCGAAAAGTGCAAAAATCGCCAAAAATGCTGTATTATTTTCTACCGGCAATGCAAATCCTCTTACAAACAAAATAATAAACACTACCGGTTCTACTAAGCTCAAATTCACGCTTATCCTTTCTCGTTATCCGTGAGGTGCTAGCGAAACTTCCGGATCTAAAGGTCAATTCAAAGTTTGGGGAATTCTCATATAGTTATTTCATTCTTTGCATAATATCATTCTTTTTCACAAGACTTGCATGCATTATTGTTTTTTACACATCGCTTTTTACACATTGCTTGTTTACTTAATAACGAAAAGAAGTTTTTAATCACATTTATTATAATTTCTGTCACACAGCACACCAATAGGCAGTGACAAACAGTTTGATTTCGGATTGTAATTACAAATAAATGTAGTGAAACATGTAATTCAATACTGTTATGTTAATTATTGAAAATATGAATCAGTTTGTTTTAAACTAGCTGCAAGGACCCGCTTCGCTGGACAAAAAGTAACGATAGTGAAGATTAAGATAATTACATTATAGCCAATCTTACCCGTTTTCACAGAATACGAGAATTAGGTCCCCCGTTTCCAGACTAATTAGAGAATTTTATACATGAGTCTAAAAATATGTTCGATTTGCCGCAAAAACGCAAAATACCGCCTGTAAATCTTGCATGCCGCTTTATACTAACACTTTGTTACTCAACACTTCTATTGTTGACACTTCCATAGTTAGAGCCTGTACACACTAGGCGTTTTTCAACGCGCGCTTTTAAACGCGCGTTTTAAAGAACCAAGAGTTCTATGTAGGCGTACACACTCAAACGCGCGCTTTTGGCCAAGCGCGCGTTAAACGCGCGTTTTGCGGGCGTTAGCCGAGCGCTTTGAGATATATGTGCTGAAATGGAGAACGATCATTTCGATACTGATCTATTTATTGATGAAATCTAAAAGAGACCAACCATCGTAAGATGATTTTATAGATATTTTAAAAGAATTAAAAAACTTGAATTTATTTTGTCTTTGTTTTGGATACAACGTCGCAANAAATGACATAATGCTTAACTTTGAAGGTAGTTTAGCGTCTACACTTGTTTATAAGTTTTATAAACAAGTGTAGACACTAACAAGAAAAAAATCTTAATTAAGAGCAATTACACGTGATTATCTTCTGTCTCTTCATTCCTCGACGTTTCTTTATTAAAATTTAGCATCGATGCTCTTTATATACAAGATATCCTGCCAAATTTCGTTTCTTAATATTCAATCTATTCTGAGATATTAATTCTACATAATATTTTGAATGTATCTACTTTTGTATCTATAAATTTATATTTCATATATGTGTAGTTGGTGTTTAGTGTATTATATTTTTAAAATCAATGATATATGAGCTGTATGAGGTTAAAATGTATTCGGGACTTTTAAGTCCTGTCATGCCAAAGCAGTAGTAGAACTCGACTCGAGATATGCATTTTCGATCAAGTCCTTTGGAGATTCACGACGATTGAGAGATTGATTTTCACAAAATAAGAAACCTAAAGTTATCTCTCATGGAAAAAATCCAGCAACGAGTTGCGTAACATTTCCGGCAAAAAACTTCAAAATTGTGTGTGGCACCATCTGTTAGGAAATTTTATTCATAAACCATTTCATATTATTAGTTGTTATAAAATGGAAAAAAGCTTAATTATCAGATTTAAGATAAATTGTATTTTTAAAAATTTTAATATGTAATAATAAGTAAAATCTTTATATTTTTAAACATTTGTTTGGGTTGAGGAAGTCTTAAAACGGAAATTTCCAATAGCTGACGGTTAAATTTGACAAGATTTTTATACTTTCGGTTGTTACACGCATTACAAGGCACGAAAGTAAGAGAAGTTCAAAAAAGAAAACACAATCAACGAGAAGATATCTATTGTGACATCCTCACAATGCCGGGCTGCAATTTTTGATTATATTATTCTTTTATTTAATTTAAAATATATGCCCTTCACCTGAAATTAGTTGTGGCTTTTCTTGTACGTTATACTTTTTCTGTTTATAAGAGTCGTGACGTTTTCGTATTTAACTTCTTTCAGAGGAAACTTTCTGAATTGAAATAACCTCACTTTCGATTTGCATCGGAAGTTCTTGTATACAAGAATTTCCGACTTAGTGCCTTTAAGCACATGTTGTTTCGGGTTTTAGCTATCTAACTCTGTTGTCGAGATTAAGAAAATAATGTCAAACAGTAGTACAGACTAAGGAAAATGGGTATTTATAAGTCTTTTGAAATTGCACCCCGATTCTTAATAAACTATAATTTACATATTCATATAGTATCAAATTCCTTTAATTCGGCAAGAGGTACCGATAAACTGTATAAGTATATCTGCTGAAAACCTGAATTTACGTTTGGAATTCAAAATTTTCCTCTGAAAGGTGTTAAATAGATGATAAAACTACTGTAAAAAAAGTAGAAAGTAGGCCATATTTTTTAAAAAATATTTAGTAAGCTTATTTTTATGCTCTACTTTAAATAATTATTTATGTGTTTTTCTATGAAGATGAATCTGTCTAATAATATTACGTAATATATTATTATTTCAGATAAATATTAAAAGAGAACCAATTTCTACTAACACAAACGCATCCACTATTTGGAGTCATTCTGGTTATAAAATCGAAAGAGGTAAGAGGCTTAATGCTTTTAATACTATGAAAGTTTTTTGTAGTGATAAGAATAATTCGTAATACTGTACATAAATTCATATAAATGGGAATGATAACATTTGAAAAACGTTGCGAATACGTCGTCTATAATGGATAAGGAATAAAATAGAATTTAGTATTATCAGTTATGTACAGTACATTTAATTTAGTTGAGAGATTTAAAATTCTTAGTTCAATTGATCAGAATTTACTACAGAGAAAAGTCCAATTTATATGATTTAGATTTCAATGAAATGAGCAATTATTTATTATGACATCGTCACAATGTTGGTATTCAATTTTAATCATATTTTTAATGTATATAATTTAAAATATATGCTTTTCATCTCAAATTAGTAGTGGCTTGCCTCTGTGCATTATACTTTTCATATAACAATGCAGTTGTGCCGGTCTTTAATTAACTATTTTCAGGACAAAAGTTTATAATTGAAATAATATGAGTTTCGATCTTTTCCAAACGTTTGTACACAGTTAATCGGGGTCTCCTGTTCCTACTCTCTCCATATTACCTAGTCTTGTCTATCATTTTCGTCCGTTCTCGAGATTAAGAAAGGACTGACACATAGAAAGAAGACAGTGAGAATTTATAGGTCTTTAATTTTTTCAGATTACAGTTCAATTATATGAATAAATTCGAACTTTTTAAAAATAAATGTCGAAGAAGTCTGTTTGTATTTATTTTATTGTTTTTATGAATATATGTTTATGATATTCTGAAAATAGTGGGTTCTCCATTAATGGGTGCTCAGACTCGGATGTATTGTTACTTCTCACAGGTTCTAAGTTTTTAAAGTACTAATTTTATGTATCTATAAATAAAACTCACCTGTACTTTCAAAATTCAGCTTTTTATTACATATACATTTATGTATTCTATTTGAAACGAAGTGTGAGGGAGTGATACGGATATGTAACACACTGACTGTACAGTGCATCGTACATATGTGTAAATTTACAGACGAAGTTATCAACGTCGACAAATAGAATTTTGTAATTCTATTTGTCAAATAGAATTTTGTAATTATATTTGTCGACGTATTTTATATTGTCGTGCTAATGGATGGTCAGAACGTCTAAAATCGGAAAACATTGGAATATTGAACTTTAATTAACATAAATTTATTGTAATATGTTAGAACTATGAGAATAGAATCTTATGAAATATAATATGTTACAACTACGAGAATCTTACAATCATGTAAAATGATTGTAAGATTCTAATTGAATATTTTTATATCCTTGATTATTTAACACTTTAACTAAGTTTTACTTTCTCGGCTCTTATATATAACAGAAGGGAAGTCTGTCAGAAAATAATTGTTACGAACATTTTTACATTTTTAAACTTAAGACAACTTAAAACGACGAGAAATTAAAAAATTCTAGGATTTTTTGTATGCATAAATGTCAGCGTGTGTGAAGGGGGACGATGATTTTCTTCAACCTTTTTAAAGTTAAATAATTATTGTGCTTGTTGTCGAAAATTTCTTAAATTTAGAAGGAAGGTTTCTGTATCAATGGGATTGATGCTTTTAAGTTTTTGTAATTAAAGGTCGAGGGGCTTATAGAGATAATGCGGGTCGTATCTTCAGTAAGGTCAGATATAANTCATATTTTTAATGTATTTAATTTAAAATATGTGCTTTTTACTTCAAATTAGTAGTAGCTTGTTCCTGTACATCATACTTTTCCTGTTAGTAATAGAGTCATGACGTTTACGTATCTAACTTCTTTTAGAGTAACCTTTGTGAATTGAAATAACGTGACTTTTGATTTGCATCGGAAATTCTTGTATAGTTAATCGGGATCTCGTGCCTCTAAGCACATCTGGGGCTTTCAGCTATCTAACTGTTGTTGAGATTAAGAAAGGACTGTGAAACAGTCATACAGACTGGGAAAAGTGGGAATTTATCAAATTGCAGCCTGATTCTTAATAAACTATTCTTTACATATTCAAACAATATCAGATTCATTTAATTGGGCAAGAGGTACCAATAAACTGTATACCTATAACCTATGTGCTGAAAAGCTGAATACACGTTTGGAATTCAAAATTTTCCTCTGAAAGGTGTTAAATAGATGATAGGGACTACTATAAAAAGAAAAGTAGAAACTAGGCTATATTTTTTTAAAAATATTTAGTAAGCGTATTTTTATGCTCTACTTTAAATAATTGTTCATATGTTTTTCTATAAATATGAATCTGTGTAATAATATTACGTAGTATTTTATTATTTCAGATAAATATTAAAAGAGAACCAATTTCTACTAACACAAACGCATCCACTATTTGGAGTCATTCTGGTTATAAAATCGAAAGAGGTAAGAGGCTTAATGCTTTTAATACTATGAAAGTTTTTTGTAGTGATAAGAATAATTCGTAATACTGTACATAAATTCATATAAATGGGAATGATAACATTTGAAAAACGTTGCGAATACGTCGTCTATAATGGATAAGGAATAAAATAGAATTTAGTATTATCAGTTATGTACAGTACATTTAATTTAGTTGAGAGATTTAAAATTCTTAGTTCAATTGATCAGAATTTACTACAGAGAAAAGTCCAATTTATATGATTTAGATTTCAATGAAATGAGCAATTATTTATTATGACATCGTCACAATGTTGGTATTCAATTTTAATCATATTTTTAATGTATATAATTTAAAATATATGCTTTTCATCTCAAATTAGTAGTGGCTTGCCTCTGTGCATTATACTTTTCATATAACAATGCAGTTGTGCCGGTCTTTAATTAACTATTTTCAGGACAAAAGTTTATAATTGAAATAATATGAGTTTCGATCTTTTCCAAACGTTTGTACACAGTTAATCGGGGTCTCCTGTTCCTACTCTCTCCATATTACCTAGTCTTGTCTATCATTTTCGTCCGTTCTCGAGATTAAGAAAGGACTGACACATAGAAAGAAGACAGTGAGAATTTATAGGTCTTTAATTTTTTCAGATTACAGTTCAATTATATGAATAAATTCGAACTTTTTAAAAATAAATGTCGAAGAAGTCTGTTTGTATTTATTTTATTGTTTTTATGAATATATGTTTATGATATTCTGAAAATAGTGGGTTCTCCATTAATGGGTGCTCAGACTCGGATGTATTGTTACTTCTCACAGGTTCTAAGTTTTTAAAGTACTAATTTTATGTATCTATAAATAAAACTCACCTGTACTTTCAAAATTCAGCTTTTTATTACATATACATTTATGTATTCTATTTGAAACGAAGTGTGAGGGAGTGATACGGATATGTAACACACTGACTGTACAGTGCATCGTACATATGTGTAAATTTACAGACGAAGTTATCAACGTCGACAAATAGAATTTTGTAATTCTATTTGTCAAATAGAATTTTGTAATTATATTTGTCGACGTATTTTATATTGTCGTGCTAATGGATGGTCAGAACGTCTAAAATCGGAAAACATTGGAATATTGAACTTTAATTAACATAAATTTATTGTAATATGTTACAACTATGAGAATAGAATCTTATGAAATATAATATGTTACAACTACGAGAATCTTACAATCATGTAAAATGATTGTAAGATTCTAATTGAATATTTTTATATCCTTGATTATTTAACACTTTAACTAAGTTTTACTTTCTCGGCTCTTATATATAACAGAAGGGAAGTCTGTCAGAAAATAATTGTTACGAACATTTTTACATTTTTAAACTTAAGACAACTTAAAACGACGAGAAATTAAAAAATTCTAGGATTTTTTGTATGCATAAATGTCAGCGTGTGTGAAGGGGGACGATGATTTTCTTCAACCTTTTTAAAGTTAAATAATTATTGTGCTTGTTGTCGAAAATTTCTTAAATTTAGAAGGAAGGTTTCTGTATCAATGGGATTGATGCATTTAAGTTTTTGTAATTAAAGGTCGAGGGGCTGAAAAGATAATGCGGGTCGTGTGTATCTTCAGTAGGGTCAGAGATAATAACGAGTCTATTCATTTTCTAATATGCGATTTTTATAAAACACATCTTTATTTCAAAATTAAGTATTTTTTAATTTTATAATTGTTAAAAATATAAACATATTTTAAACAAAATATCATAAGAGATGGCGCCACACGTAATTTTAAATGTTTCCGGAAAAGTTAAGCACTCGTTGCTGGTCTATTTAATAACGAAAACAAGTTTATAATCGTACTGATTATAATTTGTATATCACATCACAGCAATTCGCCGTGACTCAAAGCCACTTTTCGGCTTGTAATCAGAAATAAATGATGTAGTGAACGACTTAAGTTAATATTGTTATATTAATTATTGAAAATACGATCAGTTTTATTTTATATTTCAAGTTTTTCTTATTATCCTTTAACAAAAAAGATTGTAAATTCCACTACAGATATTAAGAAAGAAGAAATAAAAGAGGATTGTGATGTAAAACATGGTATAAAATCAGAATGTAAAGTTGTCTTGAAAAAATTGAAGATTGAAGTAAAGACTGAAGATCGTAAAGAAGTTGTTCATCTCCCAGATGATGATGTAAACGTATTGGTAAGTAATAGAAATTTCGAAATATTTTACAGTGAAACTTTAATATTAACTTAGGTTTCTGAATGGTTGAAAACGTAGCTCAATATCAGTAATGAATATTATGCTTCGATTGTAGGTGTATTCTGTATTAAATAAAAAAATGTGTATTCTATAAGAAAAAATCTAGTATCGAATTGTGGAAGTTTTCTGGCTGTTAAGAGATTTTATTTAAAAAATAACATCTACATTATTAATAAATAAATAAAATTGTCATTGACGCCATGTGTTATAAACACTTTCTATAATTTTAATTATTAAAGAAAGAAGAAATGCGTGATGTTAATGGTAGAAATGCATTTCACAAACTATTTTAACAACAAATACAATTTTAAGGAAATCTGATATCACTGGAGATTTTACACGTGACCATCTTCTATTTCTTTACCCCTGGATGTTTTATTGCCAAAATTTAATAGCATTAATGTCCCTTATAGACAATGAACACTTACTAAATTTAGTTTCTTAATGTTCAATTAATTCTGAAATTTTAGGCTAACTAGATGACAAATACATGTCTACGCACAGATATTTACTTCATTGTTTGCCATATTTTTTGAATTTATATGATCTCAAAATCTGAAGATTTGCGAAAATTGACTATATTTGAATACTTCACTTTGTACAAAACATTCCTAAAAGTAAGAAGCGAATTTAAACGTAAGTCTATATATATAAATTATACTGTTTCAAAGTTTCTCAATTTGTAGTTTGAGTACTGTACTTCTGCTTTTTAGTGCACGATAAGTTAGAGAATAAACAATGAGTTTTTATTTCAGACTCATTGGTCAGGTCCACATTGGATGCGGCCAGATGTTGAGAAAGGTTGCCCGACATACAGGCGGATCTAAGATTTACGAAACCCTAGGCACAATTTACTTTGAGGCGAATTGCAACGATGATAGCACAAAATACCAGATTTATTTATTTTTCTAATACTGTGAAATACTGCAATTACATAAACAGAGATTACAACAAATTAATAAACACTGCAATTTCTAATTTTATGTAGTTTAAGTAGCAGTTGATTACAAATAAATAATAGAGAGGTTGCGATTGAAGTTTTCATTGTTAAAACATAAACGTCGAACGTCGAGCGTCGTTATCTTGTAATTTTACAAGTTTTAAAATGTCGTTTGGAACGTCAAACATGACAGGTAGGAGTTCGGCTTAAATGTTTGCTTGTTCTCTGTTTTGGGTTGAATTTACGACGTATTTTATTAAAATAATGATTGTTTAAGCATTTATGAATAACATTGCAAAAAAAACAGACTATTTTAATGCAGAAATGTTTTAATTATTAAATATTTTTGTAAGTAATGTAAAGTGCGTATACAATTTTTATATATTTCAGTGCGATAAGGATGGCGTGAAAACAGGCAAAACGCATTGCACTTTTTCTACTGTTAAATCGTACGGTAGAAGACAGGACGCTAATTAAAGTAAAAAATAATTATTGAATATCTTTTTAATATTTTAAGATAATCTAATTCGTTAATTTCGTTCGTTGGTGACCTTAAATGTTTCTGCCATTTTTCGGCAATATCGCATGAATCAGTTTGCTTTGTCAACGTTGGCGCAACTTATTTTATTTGAAGTTGAAACGTCAAACGTGTTCTTTTACTTGCCGTACAAGTTTAAAGTTTATACTTTGGCTGCAACCTCTCTAATATTATAAAATGAGCAAAACAGTTTTACAACGAATTGTGAAGTTCAATGGGTGTAAAAATCTTTCGTTACAGAACTAGTCTCCTGGCTTTCACAGTGCTAAATTACAAATAACATAAATTACTAGTACAGTGAGCCTACTTCATTAGTACAGTAATATCTTTTCTCAATGGACATGATGGAAAGTGAAAAATCTCTCTTGTTATTTTGTTAATTTTTCTAAAAGACTAAATAATTTCTACAAAGTTTTCAAAACAATGAATTTTAATACAATTTTCTAATATGTTGCTTATATATGAAATCACAAAATATGGATTTGTAATTTACAAGATTTTCGTATTACTTTTTCGGTTGTTATATATCACAAAAAGAAAGTAGTGACGATCGGTCAAAATGACTCCACAAGATTTTTACATTTCTAAATGTAGAATTCCTTTAAACCACAAAAAAATATCTTGGGTTTTATCTGTATGTATAAATGTTAGTGTGTGGGAGGCACGATTTTGTTCACGCTGTTTAAAAGTTAATAACTCCTGTTCTTTTGTCGAAAATTTCTGAAATTTTGCAGGAAAGATTGATTATTAGGGAAATTAAGGCTATGGAATTTTGCTGGTTAAAAATTAACAAATTGGGGATATACACACGACTTTCATTATCTGCAGTAAGGTCGTACTTAATGATAATTTTACACATTACTCGCATTTAACATTTTTATATAAAACTTATCCCTACTTTCAAAATTCATTTATTTGCCTTCCTATAATAGTTAAAAATATATATTATTTTAAAAACGTTTTATTACAGACAGTGCCACCAAACTTTGGAAACGTTGCTGGGTAAAGTTGAGCAAACTTTTTCCCAGCAACGTTTCCAAATTTATACTGTTACTGATTTATAGGGGAAACCGGAGCAAGTTTGTCAAGCGCTTTTTTTTTTAAACAAATTAAATGGAGACTTTGGTTATAGGTTAGGCAGTTGAGTTTTATTGGTGACTTGTTGAGTGTAGTGTTTTTATTGTTCTCCAACAAGCGTAGTTGAATTATCAAGCAAATTTTCATTTTCGTTCAATTCCATATAATATTTTTTTTCCATTTATATTGAATTGGCAGGTTTTGTTATAATTCCATGATAACGAAAGTTACTTTTCCTGTTAGAAGGATGTAACTTCAACTTATTCACGTGGCCAGATCGTGGCTTGGCATTCTGTTCTCAGGGTTGTACTTAATGTTTCG